CTGACTCCTACTTGAGTACGGCTCCCTGCGGCCCTCACCGTCGGCGAAGTACGCTTGCTCTGCGCCCTTCGGCCCTTTTCCTTTCCCCTGCTCCAGCTTGTCCTTGATCGCCTTGTATTCGATCATTACTTCCTGTTGCACACCGGTTCGGGTCAACTCCTTCGCGTGTCGCAGGCTGTGCTTTGTCATGGCATACTCGTCCGAAAGGGCATCCAGGAAGAGGTGAAGGACGAACGTTTCGTTGACAGTTAGTCCTTTCTCGGTTAAGGACTCTGCGGTTTGGAGCATCTCATTTAGGACGTTTTGGGGGTTTTCACCTCTAGAGATCTTGGTCGACGTCAGGGACTTTAGGTTCTCTGACGGCTGTACAGATGATTCAGGGTCGTGTATGGTCTTGAGCTCACGAAGAGCTCCCTGGGGCGTCTCTGCCCTCTTCATGATTCTCCGATCTTTTTCTTTCAACGTGTGAGACAGGAAGTTCCACGCGTGGAATGCGAGCTCTACTTGCTCGCTCCGGTATTGCTGTGACAGCGAAAACTGGCTCTTTCCACTGTTGACGGGGATCTCCAAGCTCCCGCTCTCTTCAAATTGCTCCAACAGGTTTGCGCCATTAGCTGCCATGCGGAGATCATTTAGCCATTCGTTGAAATCTTTCGATTTCCGGNGAATGCGAGCTCTACTTGCTCGCTCCGGTATTGCTGTGACAGCGAAAACTGGCTCTTTCCACTGTTGACGGGGATCTCCAAGCTCCCGCTCTCTTCAAATTGCTCCAACAGGTTTGCGCCATTAGCTGCCATGCGGAGATCATTTAGCCATTCGTTGAAATCTTTCGATTTCCGGCTGAACGGAGGAGAAATGTACCGCACACTTTGGTACCCCGTCGCTGGGGTTGTGGCTCCGTGTCTAAAGCCAACAGCAGCACCACCATCTCCCATGGCACTACTATAATCTTGGTTGTGAGCAGCGGCTACTCTCGCCTCGTGGGGGACAAGCCCCTTGCTTCGCCGCTGTGTCGCCCTGACGGGCCAGACTCTCGAACAGGTTCGCGCAGGACGGGAGGTACCTGCGCGAACCTGTTCGAGCGGCACCCTCCATGGTGCCAGCTGGCTCCTCCTTCTTGCTTGCCTTCATGTCACCTTCCACTAGCGACATTAGCTGGCTCATCTGATCCGTCAGCGAGCTAACTTGCGTCCTCAGGGCCACGAGCTCTTCTCTTGACCTCTTTCTGTCTTCCGCCGCAGAGTCGCTTGAGGAGTCACCCCCTGTTGGTAAACCCTTGGCTCTTGGAGAAAGATGTTGTATTATTGAGAAACTGCCCTCTGAGACAGGTAGGCAATGTGGAGTGACAGCGTGTGGGGGCTAGCTCGTGTGCTCCCAGCACCCCNATTAGCTGGCTCATCTGATCCGTCAGCGAGCTAACTTGCGTCCTCAGGGCCACGAGCTCTTCTCTTGACCTCTTTCTGTCTTCCGCCGCAGAGTCGCTTGAGGAGTCACCCCCTGTTGGTAAACCCTTGGCTCTTGGAGAAAGATGTTGTATTATTGAGAAACTGCCCTCTGAGACAGGTAGGCAAAGTGGAGTGACAGCGTGTGGGGGCTAGCTCGTGTGCTCCCAGCAC